TACTACAAACTCTAATCGCACAGAATGTGGAGGTGGCGTGGAAAACTAGTGTGAGGGACTTGGGAGTGTTAATGTCAGAGGATCTAACACTCAAGGATCACGCCAGTGTCACTATCACATCTACAAGGAAAATGATAGTATGGGTAATGAGAACCTTCATAACAAGGGATGGCAAGCCATTGATTCTGTTTAAATCAGTTCTCTCTAGGCTGGAATGCTGCTGTACACTAACAGCTCCATTCAAGGCAGGTGAAATCGCAGATCTAAAGAATGTGCAGAGACTACTGCACGTGTAAGTTCTGTCAAACACCTTAATTACAGGGAATGCTTGGAGTCGCTTGATCTGTACTCATTGGGGCCCAGGTGAGAGAGAGACACCATAATCAGCACCTGGAAAATCCTAGAGGGACTTGTCCCAAATCTGCACACACAAATCACTCCCTACGAAAGCAAAAGACTGGGCAGACGGTGCAACATACCCCTAGTGAAAAGTAGGGGCGCCATTAGTACACTTAGAAAAAACGCTTTAAGTATCCGGGGCCCAAGACTGTTCAACAGCCTCCCACCAAGCATAAGGTAAATTACCAATAAATCCATGGCTAACTTCAAGAGGGAGCTGGACAAACACCTAAAGCCGGATCAGCTCGACTGTGGTTCATACGTTGGATTACGTGCAGCGAGCAGTAACAGCCTAGTTGATTAGGCCCTGATCCACAGGGAGGCCTGGTCAAGGACTGGGCCGCGGGAGCGTTGACCCCCGAACACCCTCCAGGTAGACGTTATTGTAGTTATCGCTCTTGGCCCTGCTTCTTAATTCTTACCTGCCGGTTTTACAGATTGTTTTTGGCTTGAGGACCCATTCTTGTGTATCGAAACTTGTGTGTACTTCCCCCGGTTCCACATAGTCCCATTCCATTTAACATCCCAAGAATGAAAAAATGCAGACATATAGTCAGTACCCTGTCAGCCGGGCTGTTCGTACGTTGGATTGCGTGCAGCAAGCAGGATGAGCCTGGTTAATCAGGCCCTGATGCACCGGGAGGCCTGATCAAAGACTGGGCTGCGGGGGCGTCGACCCTAGGAACGACCTCCAGGTAACATCAGTAGCTGCCGTGAATGTGTCGTTCACAGTTCAACTCCTGACAACTACGCGCGTCTCAGCCAGCCACCAGCATACATCGTCACGTTGAAGATTGAGACACTTATGCAACATATGGGAATCTTTATTGTAAAAACGTTTCGCCACACAATGGCTTCATCAGTCTACTTAAATTAGTGGATGGTTCCACTATGACGCCGCCGCCTCCTGCTTCGACTCGCCCGACTACAGTAGCTAAGCCACTTCTACGGCCCTATGCTGTACTTTCTTCAAGATTGATGCTGAACACATCGATGCAGCGCTGTATAGCCCTTGTGGCTTAGCGCTTCTTTTTGATTATAATAATAATGAACACATCGATTCCAGGCTGAGGGACTGATTACCTCAAACTACTACTACTCCTTACCCATTTCTACTTTGTATTGGACTGAAGAAGTCAGTGTGTGGCGAAATGTTTCTACAATAAAGATTTGCATTTGTGGCATAAGTATCTCAATCTTAAACTTGTCTGTTTTAAACCACTTATCACATACACCGTCACATTGGTTTTCTGTTGCTGATCAGTTGTTTTTACATGCGTCGTTAGTTTATCCAATAACGAACAAAGTCACCTAATGTTAGTCTGTAGCATGTAATAAACCTACTCCATACCTGCCAGTCTGTAGCATGTAATAACCTACTCCATACCTGCCAGTCTGTAGCATGTAATAACCTACTCCATACCTGCCAGTCTGTAGCATGCAATAACCTACTCCATACCTGCCAGTCTGTAGCATGTAATAACCTACTCCATACCTGCCAGTCTGTAGCATGTAATAACCTACTCCATACCTGCCAGTCTGTAGCATGTAATAACCTACTCCATACCTGCCAGTCTGTAGCATGTAATAACCTACTCCATACCTGCCAGTCTGTAGCATGTAATAACCTACTCCATACCTGCCAGTCTGTAGCGTGTTATAACCTACTCCATACCTGCCAGTCTGTAGCATGTAATAACCTACTCCATACCTGCCAGGTATGTCCCAGTCCTTTGTTAAATTGCTTTTTTTTTTAACATCGGCCATATCCCACCGAGGCAGAGTGACCTAAAAAGAAAAAAACGAGTTTTTCTTTTTAACTTTAGTTATCTGTATATACAGGAGAAGGAGTTACTAGCCCCCTTCCTCTCGGCATTTTAGTCGCCTCTTAGGATGCTTAAACTGCTTATATATGGTTAAATATACGAGTATGCAGGCCAGCGAGTCGCTAGTAGCAACATACTCGTCATCATCAGAGAAGCCCAACCTCATACTAGGCTGCCAGGGTAGAAGAACCCTGGAAAGTGATCACAGGTAAGAGCACGGCACAAGACCGTCGGGGGTTCCCAGGTGGCGCGAGCAGACAAGGCCAAGGTCATAGCAATGGTGTGCGTCTTGCTTCACCTGGTGGTGGCCTCCAGTGCTGTTGCACCATCATTCAAGTATGGTCTACCGGATCCTCCCTCTGGTGAGTTCATGCTTATGTTGTAAGGTGGAAGTAGGCCGGAATGCTGGCCTGGAAGAGAAAAGTGGGTGGCCAACAACAGCAGCAGCATTGCACGTTACAACAAAAGCAGCATACACAACAGCATCTTGTTATCACCCTTATAGTTTAAATGTTGCTGTAGTACTCCAGTATGTTATCAACCTTGTTGGTTAGTTGATTAATTAGGCTTAAGCTCTGTCGACACACAAGAGCTACCAAAGATGCATGTCACCCGTTCACCACCAGTTAAGACCACTTTAATTTGAAATGTGAGCGTATTGGGATTATTAAAGTAATATCTTACCCATCTCCTCACATGTGTACACTCGGTTTCTCTTTGCACACCCATATATATATATATATATTATATTATATATATATATATATATATTATATATATTATATATATATATATATATATATATTATATATATATTATATATATATATATATATATATAATTATATATATTATATATATATATATATATATATATATATATATATATATATATATATATTATAATATATAATTTATATATATATATATATTATATATATATATATATATATATATATATATATATATATTATATTATATATATATATATAATATATATATATATATATATATATATATATATATATATATATTATATTATATGTACTAATATATATATAATATTGTCAATATAATAAAAACTCATATTATTATTAAAGTCATATATCTATAATTATTTATATCTATATACTTTTATATATTTTATATATTTATATATAATGTAATAATATATATACTTTTAGTATCAAAAACTTATGAAAACTTGCTTAACCTTATTATAAATAAGCAATTTTAATTTAGCCTAATCAACTATATATATTATTATGATAAGTTTACAATAATTTAATAATAAACAAGCACAAGGAAATATTTTTTTTTTCGTTAGGTTCAGAATGGTTTTTGTGAAATTACTGCATACACAAATTTTCGCTTGCCTTATTCGGCAAGAAGAGCATTCTATTTAAGCCAAAATAGCAAGATATGCCTATTCGGCACGACATATATATATAAGTGCGACCTTGTAAGACGGAGAGGGTCGTTGTTAAGATTGTGGCGCGTCCTGGTTTGTATATAGCTACTGTTTGGTAGGATCTCCAGTGACAAGTAGTCTTGCATTGCTGATGTAGTGAAACATTTGCACCTAGTTTGTACACCAGCAGGAAGGAGGCGCAAGATTATGTAGTCGCCAATGAATCCATCGTAAATAATTTTTGTAACCTTTGTATAGGTTATTGGTATTAATGTCGTTTCGTGTCTGCATAATACCTACGTTTTCGATTATTTACAAAACCTGGAAAAGGCCACGTACGCAGCATTCCTTTGCTACACTCGGTAACAGCCTTTGTATTTTAGATAATTACCTGTAGTCGCTTCCTGGGTTCATCGCGGGGTCCAGTCTTATCGATCAAGCTGTTGGTGCCTGCCGCTAGCAGTCCAGCGTATGCACCACAACCCGTCTGCTCAGGAAATGTTTTGAAGACAGCAAGGGATTTGTTCGTAATCCTCCTTATGCAAGAAGGGAGGGTATTGAAGAGCCGTGGTGCCTTTACGTTCATTAAATCTTCTCTGTGTGCTCATCGCTTATCTGCTTTTCACCGGAGGAATATTACACCGTCTGCAAGCTTCTTTGTTTTCATATGTAGGAATTTGGGATCAATCTCTTCAGTATCTTCCAGGTGTAGATTATGATGCATCTTTGTCGCCTACATTCTAAGGACTACAGTTCGAGGGACTATAAGCGCTCTCAGTTAGGTGCTTGATCAAGTTTATACGAGCTGTGAAGATTCTCTACCTTTTTCCAATTCTGTAATTACCGCCTGCAGTGAGTGAGGCCGTTAGTATATAGCAGTATTCCAGCCTAGAGAAACAGAGTGACCTGGAACTTATCATTATTGACTACTTTTCCAACCTACCATTTTCTTGCCTCTCGTGACATATGAGAGAGATACCAATAAACTCCTAGTTGTCTTCAAGAGAAAACTAGTTAGATTCCTAGAGTCAATGCCAGGCCAGCCAGGTTGTGGTTCGTACCTTGGACTGCGTGCGGCCAGCAGTAACAGTCTAGTTGATAAGGCCCTGAAGGCCTGGTCATGGACCGGGCCAGGCTTTCGTTCGCCCCCGCAAAACACCATGCAGGCAGGTACGTCCAGGTAGGTTGCGATAATGACAGTGTTGCTTGAACATGAGATCTGACATTATCACTCCCTTGTGTCATACATTAGACTTACGCTTTGTTAAGCGATTCGAGTTCGTCGTGTACTTCCATCGTCTTTATTTCCTCAATCTTCCCTAACGTAGTAACTGAAAATTGTCCTCAATGAACTTAATATTTCAGAAGCCCACTGGATGACGGTAGATATCAAGTTGGAGGCTGTGTGTTTACGTTGGTGATTGTCCCTTCAAGATTCTAGTATCGTCTCCAAAGTGGTGGTGGTGTTTTGCTCGTCAGAAAGAAGGACAAGTCTCTCTTGACACAGGTGTTTGCCAGATGACTTGTTAAGGAGGTTAAACATGTGCTGGCTTACCCCGGCAACGTTATACATCACCTTTCAAAATAAAGGCTCACCACATGCTGATTCTTCTTTTTTTACCATCTTCCTGGAAAGTTTTTCGGAAATTTAAAAATGTTAAAATTATATTGTTTATCTTAGTATTTTTGATATACTTTTCATATTTCGTTAAAATCTAAGTAGTACTCGAATTTTGTAAGTTTTGGTTTGTATTTACTTGAAAGTTTGTGTGTGTGTGTGTGTGTGTGTGTGTGTGTGTGTGTGTGTGTGTGTGTGTGTGTGTGTGTGTGGTGCGTGGTGCGTGCGCGTGTGTGTGCGCGTGCGTGCGTGCGCGCGTGCGTGCGCGTGTGTGTGCGCGTGCGTGCCGTCTAAGCGGCTAGTTTGTTGTGGACGTGATGCATTACTGTGGTCACTGTGTGTCATTATCACGCCACTCTGGTTATAGTAACATCTTTAAAAATATATTATAATTACTTTACGTAGGTAATTTACACAATATAACAAAATACAATCTCAAGAATTTAAATATTACAATTACGTTGGTAAGCTACATAGCCTCGTTGATCAGGCCCTAATCCACTGGGAGGCTTCGTCATGGACCGGGACGCGGGGGCGTTGACCCCCCGAAGCCCTATCCAGGTATATTTCGGATATACATAGCACAAGATACATTCTCAAGAACTGAAATATTTTAATTACTATACATAGGTAATCTGCATAATACAACAAGGAGATATCCCTATTGTACGTGCGCATTATCCAGCGTCATTTTTTTTTCGTTTTCAGAAAGAGTAAGCTACATAAACTCTTAAATGTTTTTATTTGATAAATAAGCAGGTTAAAAAATAAGAGGCGAGATGTCTGGCAGCGTTGGTTGCCTGACAGAATACGCATTACCTTGAAATCAGTCCAGTGTTGTTCTTATGGGTCCTGTGTTCAGGTATTAGTGGCCCTGCAGGGAGAGGTAAAAAAAAAATACCAACTTGGCAAATGTAAACTTCAGAACACAGCCATTTATGAAAATAGAAATGAGTGAGATGCTGAAATCTCAATACGATTCTGTGTTTAGCGAACCACTAATCAGTCTAAAGATAGACAATCTAAATTTTTTCATGAATGAACCTCAAAACCCTGTAAATGTATGCCAGATTTCTGACATAACCCTAACTCCACTAGACTTTGAGAAAGGCCATTGACAACATGCCCAGGCACTCCGCCCCAGGCCCAGACTTGTGGAACTGTGTTAAGAACTGCAAGAAACCTCTCGCAGGCTATGGAGAAGGAGCATAGGCACAGGTGAGATTCCACAGTCACTAAAAACAATGGATATAGCCCCACTTCATAAAGGTGGCAACAAAGCAATAACTAAGAACTATAAACCAGTAGCTCTAACATCCTACATCATAAACACCTTTGAAAGAGTTCTAAGAAGTAGTATAGTAAACCACTTGGATTCCCAACAATTACACAATCCAGGAATCCTACGGGTTTAGCGCTTCTCCATTATTATTATAATACACAATCCAAGGCAACATGGATTAAGACCAGGTCGCTCCTGCCTCTTGCACTATTGGACCAGCTATGATAAGGTCTTGGATGCATTGGGAAACAAACAGAATGCAGATGTAACATACACAGATTTTGCAAAAGCTTTCGACAAGTGCGATCATGGTGTAATAGTGCACAAAATGCGTGCTTAAGAGATAATTGGCAAAGTAGGCAGATGGAATCTTCAACTCTCTAACCAGTTGAACACCAAGAGTAGCGGTAAACAGAATTAAATCTGAAACTGCCATGGTAAAGAAGTTCCACAAGGCACAGTACTTGTACTTGCCCCCTATCCTGCTCCTCAACGTCATATCAGACATAGATGTAAACCATAGCACTGTATCATCCTTTGAAGACAATACTAGGATCTGCATGAGTGTCATCCATTAAGGAAACGGCAAATCTCCAAGAAGATATACGTAAACCAAGTTTTCCAATGGGCAACGTAGAACAATATGTTCGGTGAAGACAAATTCCAACTTCTCCGTTATGGAAAACTGGAGGAAATAATAACTAGAACTGAGTATACTACATACTCTAATCACACAATAGAGCGGAAAAGTAATGTGAGGGATCTGAGTGTTAATGTCTGAGGTTCTCACCTTCAAGGATCATAAAGTGTCACTATCACATCTACGAGGGAAATGACAAAATCACTTGTTCTCTCTAGGCTGGAATACTACTGTACATTAACATCTCCATTCAAGGCAGGTGAAATCGCAGATCTAGACAATGTACAGAGAACGTTTACTGCACGTCTAAGTTCCATAAAACACCTTAACTACTGGGAACGCCTCACTAGAGCGCAGCCGAGAGAGACGTACCATAACTTACACCTGGAAGATCCTGAAGGGACTGGTCCCTAATCTACACACAGAAATCACTCCCTACGGAAGCAAAAGACTTGGCAGGCTATGCAACATACCTCACGTGAGCAGCAACGGCACTATTAGTACACTAAGAGAAAACACAATAAGTGTCCTTGGCCCAAGACTGTTCAACAGCCTCCCACCAGCCATAAGGGAAATTACCAATAGACCCCTGGTTGTCTTCAAGAGGGAGCCAGATCAGCCGGGCTGTGGTTCGTACGTGGGACTATGTGCGGCCAGCAGTAACAGCCTAGTTGATCAGGCCCTATCCACTGGGAGGCCTGATCGTGGACCGGGCCGCGGGGGCGTTGATCCCCGGAATACCCTCCAGGTAGGTAGCCATTTTCCCAGGTAGTGGGAAGGAGAGGGTCGGGCATCTGGTCATTGGGTTGCTGGGTACGTAGACGCAAAGGGGCAGATGATGATGGAGTGGTTGGGTCTCTGGTGGGCTTGGTGTGGTTGAGGCAGCAGGCTGTGAACATCAGACCACCATAACAGTCACGGGACTAACAAATGAGTGGGTGACAGAAATACAATTTTTAGTAAGACGAGTGTCCACACGAGGCCGCCCTTCCTGTCTCCTAATTATAGTGGCCACAGCCGCATCCCAGCCAGAATTAGCAGGGGGTGGCAAGCGGCTCGTCTGGTTGGTGGCCTCGCTGCTGCTACTCGTACCTCATACCTCATCATTGTTTTGAAGGTTGGTTTAACTTCCTCTGTAGACCTGACATCAGCTGCACTAAGGTCTGATGCCTCATTCTGGCTGGGGATGACTGTGTGGAGGAAGCTTACAGTTGTGCATGGTAGCGAGGTCTTGGTGTGGTCGGCGCCCGAGTGCCAGGCACCTGGTGCCACCAGGGACTAATCCCAGGTATTTACAAACGTCGGCTAGGATGTCTGGCGTCCCAATTGGTGGAGGCCAAGGTGCTGCTAGGTGTGCTGCCCTCTTGTGGTGGTGTGCTTGTTACCCAGATGGTGGGGGACCAGGCGAGGCAAGGGTGGACCAGGTGGTGGTGGGCTACCCGGGAGTGGCACCTGCAGAACAACAAGGGTTACTTGCTGGGTGGGTGTTGTTTGGAGGTGGTATTCTCCAGGGAGAATACCACTACCTCCCCCTCCCTTATCAAGCCTATCATCAATTTTCCTCTTCTCTGCCACGCTTTACGGGGTATATCCTGATGCTAGAGAAAGCTTTTGACCCAAGAAACTCTTAATTACCCTCCTCGTGGATCAGGTATCATTACTTTCCATTCACCAAGCGTTTTATGATTTCCAAAATTTGCGTTTCTCCATACATATATAACAAGTCTTTAGTACATTTTAGGCTTCCTCTTGTTTTCCTCTCAGTAAACAGTAAACTAATGTTTGTCATAGGATGAGTCACTCACTGGTGCCGGTGGAGGATGAGACAAACAACACATGGGAACCTCTATTAAGGAAACGTTTCACCACACAGTGGCTTCATCAGTGTTGCACAAGTCTCTCATTCTTCAGTTTGTCGGTTTTCTAAACCATTTGTCACACAGGTGCCGGTACTTGCGGGAGCGAGGAAAGACGGTATATGCAAGGGCACTTGAAGGTAAGGGGTGGGGGATCGAGTTCAGCAACCATCGCTAGTTTATACCGGGATTGGATTCACCGGTGTTTGTGTAATTTTGATAAAATAATATATCTCTATAAACATTCATGTTATGTGTACCTTGGGCCAGTAGCTCCTTCCTTCTTAAGTGGGTGTGACGTGGACTTACCTAGCAAGGATCAGTGAGTCTGCTGCACTGCTGCTGCTTATATTGTAGGCTATCTGTAGTCGCATTTGTAGGTGCCCCTGCGGCCCGGTCCCAGGCCGGGCCGCATGGTTTATTGGATGGGTTAATTTCGCTTAACACAGAGTTAAACGTCAGAGCAGATGTGTGCGCGGGCGCGGGCTTGCGTGCACTCGCACACGCCTAATTACACGTAATTTCACAGGCTGCTGAGAAAGTAGTGCCCAAGAGACACTACAGGGTACACTTAGGCCTTCCGCCCATCCGAGAGGACTAAGCGTCTCTGCTGCCGTCGCCGCTTCGCGTCGAACCAGCACACTCACACAAATACAATGGGATATCTCCAACTTACTAATGCAAATCACACGCAGCTTGGAGGACCACAACCGACACTAGTTATCCATCATATATTTCACAGACGAACACCGCATTAGGAATCTCAAGACATTTTGGCGTTTCATCCTGATAAGGACGGCAACCCCAAACACAACACAGGTTCCAAGGCATCACTCACAACAGGAGACATATTTCTGACCCACCAGAGGTCGTACCCATCTTCAAGGACATCTGGGAAAACTTATTCCACCCCCCCCCCCACACACACACCAGATCCAGGCACATTCAGCACTATACATAGAGCACCTCGTCACCGTACTGACCCTGTCATTACTCTGGACACACACACACACACACACCACACTCCAACACACACTCACTCAACACACACACACTCAACACACACACACTCAACACACCACACTCAACACACCACACTCAACACCACACACACCATCAAACACACACACTCAAAACACACTACACTCGAAACACACACACACACTCGAAACACACACACACCACACACACACACACACACCACACACAC